TGAGATCACAGTTTACGACCTGCATTACTTAGTGATGGAAATTCTGTTCCCAGTTCTGTTCCCAGTTACTTGATTTGCAATATTATATACTTTGCTTTTCTATAATCCTGTAAGCCCCTTGGCATGGGCCATGGCTCCCGTTACAGTTGTTTAAAAAGCAGTTTGGTCAAACATAGTGGCAGTTGAAAATTGTATACAAGTAGTGTTCGACTTACAATCATTCATTTAGTGACTGAAGTTCCAGTGGCACTAAAAAAAAGTGACTTGTGGTTTTTTTGGGGGAGGGGTTGCATTTATGACCTTTGCAGTATCCCCATGGTCACATGATCAAAATTCAAATGCTTGGCAACTGGTTCACATTTATGACAGTTGCAGTGTCCCAGGGTCATGTGATCATATTTTGCAACCAAAAGATGTGTTGAGCTCAATTTTGGTCGTAAGTCGAGGGCTACCAGTATAAGTGTGATAAGCTTGAATACCAGATCTTCATAATTTATTTTGGATCTAGAAATATGTAATCCAGGATATTTTTTTTAATTATTGTTGATTAAATGTTCTAACAACTCTATGCATTTTAATTAGTCTAGCCCTACCAAAGACTACCCAAGTATTTTATATGGGTGGTTTATACTTTTTTCTATTTTAATGCTGGATTAGTTAATGGCTAAAAGTTTAATCAAATTTTAGATCCTCTATAAGGTTGTCATGCTACTCTAACTAAGGATAATTCTTATACCTGGAAAATATTACGAGCTTTATAGAGTTTAATTGGATGAATTGTAATGACTTTAAATCCCTCATAATAAAAATATATTTTTTGCTCAGTTGCATACCAGACCTGTTTTCGTATCTTGACCTTTAGTTCATTCGTTAGATAGTTGCAACATAGTTTCTGTTGCAAGATACAATCAAGTTCTAATAACATTATCAAGTACTCCTAAGGAAAACGAAGTGTGGTTCCTCTAAAATAGTATTTAAATATATCAGTATTAAAAGAAATTTATAAAACAGATGAAGCAAGGCTTCAGATATCATTTTACTATTATTATTTTTTTTTTGCAAAATCCTGAGGGTTCTCAGGGCTGCTGTCCCAGAAACAGGCAGATGGGAAGTCTCTACTTGGGACGCTAGGCCTTAGGGATCATTTGGGATTGCTGTTGTTGACCAGCCTCCCTACTGTTTTTCTACCTGTGCTGTGTTCTCTAGGTTGCCATCTGCGGTCTCCAGGTTTATGGCCCTAGGGACTTCAACACATCCTCCCTAGGTACAGATTCAGAGGCACTTTTTGAATTCGTACCCGCCATGGCAGCCATGGCAACCAGCAACTTAATTTATAGCAGATCTGACTCATTGGGGGAAGTTGCAGAAGTGTCACGCACTAGACCTGGTTTTTGCTTGGAGTGGTGGTGATATGATTTGGAATTGTAGGACATTATCATCAAGGACAGAACCATATCTTAATGAAGACCATAAAATTCAAAATTCAGCTGCTCTGTTATATTATCCATTTATTTATATCCATAAATGGCTAAATTTATTTTTTGGTTCTGATATATTAAAAAGAACTGATATTTTCTCAATAATTTTTTGGATAGTGTGGAATACCAACTTCTGTTGTTTCTCTGGTATTTTTATTTCTACCTACCATCTGACCTTTCAAAACTTTAAATTATCTTCAAGCATCCTGAACTGATTATTCTTTTTAGCTATACTTTTCAATTCTAAGAAACTGCTTAAATATTAAAATGCATTGAATTTAATAATATCAAAGTCATTGTTCAACAAAAAATACTCCTTTTGCACCAGATGCTAAACATTTCAAAATAAATTCTTCATTGCTTTGTTTTGCATGTAGGAGCTTCCCAGTCATTCCAAGACACCTTAATTTATTATATCTAGAAATATTATGCATCAGTTGAAACCAGAATATTTATCTAATAAATGGAGGGCAGCTGAAGTCACCTATTATTACTATATTGTCTCCTATTTCAATTGCTTTTCAAGATTGCAGAGTATATTCTCACTATATTACTTTGGCGGTTAGTCATGTATATATGTTTTGATCTTAAAAGGCAATATTTTCTACCAATCAAAAAATGCAGCAATACGTATTATTATGGCATAGACTGTGATATATTGTAATACAGTAGTGAATTCATTAGTAAACCGGTGACTGTTGATAAATATAAGATTTTTTTCTTCTTAGTTTATATTTTAATTTTTATGTATCTTAAGGTTAAGATTGTTTTATTAGAAACAATAAAGATGAAAATAAAATAATTAAAAATATGTTTTGATCTTAGATTTAGGCAATCTTAACGAACTAACGTTCCATTTTATCAGTTATGGTGTTCTTTTACATTCTTTATTTGTTAAGGGATGGAAATCAATTGCCAACTGCTGTTTTTAAAAAAATGACAATAAATAACCTGCATACATATGTTTTATAGTTTTAATTTTCCTAAACTACAATACATGACAATTATAGGATAATATGGAATTTAACTTGTATAGTGAGGGAAAAAAGTATTTGATCCTCTGCTGATTTTGTACGTTTGCCCACTGACAAAAAAATGATCAATCTATAATTATAATGTTTATTATAGGCTTATTTTAACAGTGAGAGACAGAATAACAACAAAAAAAAAATACAGAAAAACGCATTTCAAAAAAGTTATAAATTGATTTGCATTTTAATGAGTGAAAGAAGTATTTGACCCCTTCGCAAACCATGACTTAGTACTTGGTGGCAAAACCCTTGTTGGCAATCATAGAGGTCACATGTTTCTTGTAGTTGGCCACCAGGTTTGCACACATTTCAGGAGAGATTTTGTCCCACTCCTCTTTGCATATCCTCTCCAAGTCATTAAGGTTTCGAGGTTGACGTTTGGCAGCTTGAACCTTCAGTTCCCTCCACGGATTTTCTATGGGATTAAGGTCTGGAGACTGGCTAGGCCACTCCAGGATCTTAATGTGCTTCTTCTTGAGCCACTCCTTTGTTGCCTTAGCTGTGTGTTTTGGGTCATTGCCATGCTGGAATACCCATCCATGACCCATTTTCAATGCCCTGGCTGAGGGAAGGAGGTTCTCACCCAAGATTTGATGGTACATGGCCCCATCCATCCTCCCTTTGATGCGGTGAAGTTGTCCTGTCCCCTTAGCAGAAAAACACCCCCAAAGCATGTTTCCACCTCCTTATTTGATGGTGGGGATGGTGTTCTTGGGGTTATAGGCAGCATTCCTCCTCCAAACATGGTGAGTTGTTGATGCCAAAGAGCTCGATTTTGGTCTCACTTGACCACAACACTTTCATCCAGTTTTCCTCTGAATCATTCAGATGTTCATTGGCAAACTTCAGACAGGCCTGTACATATGCTTTCTTGAGCAGGGGGACCTTGCGGGTGCTGCAGGATTTCAGTCCTTCACGGCATAGTGTGTTACCAATTGTTTTTTTGGTTACTATAGTCCCAGCTGCCTTGAGATCATTTACAAGGTCCTCCCATGTAGTTCTGGGCTGATTCCTCGCTGTTCTCATGATCATTGAAACTCCATAAGGTGAGATCTTGCATGGAGCCCCAGACCAAGAGAGATTGACAGTTATTTTGCGTTTCTTCAGTTTGCAAATAATTGCACCAACTGTTGTCACCTTCTCACCAAGCTGCTTGGCAATAGTCTTATAACCCATTCCAGCCTTGTGTAGGATGTCCCTGACATCCTTGAACAGCTCTTTTGTTTTGGCCATGGTGGAGAGTTTGGAATCTGATTGATTGATTGATTGATTGATTGCTTCTGTGGACAGGTATCTTTTATACAGGTAACAAACTGAGATTAGGAGCACTCACTTTAAGAGAGTGCTCCTAATTTTAGCTCATTACCTGTATAAAAGACCCCTGGGAGCCAGAAATCTTCTGATTGATAGTGGATCAAATACTTTTTTCACTCATTAAAATGCAAATCAATTTATAACTTTTTTGAAATGTGTTTTTCTGAATTTTTTGTTGTTATTCTGTCTCTCACTGTTAAAATAAACCCACCGTTAAAATTATAGACTGATCCTTTCTTTATCACTGGGCAAACGTACAAAATCAGCAGGGGATAAAATACTTTCCCCTCTCATTGTATATTGTCTTTTTTTTCCCTTTTGGGGCAAATGTTAAGATATCTGTCCATCTATCTATTACAATAAAAGGTAACCATTATATACCCAGCCATTCTCTTTTGATGTTTATAAATATGATAATAATGGAAAAGAAGGGAATCTATCATGAGCATTAACAGCTCTTGTGATATTCTCTCTTTTTATTTCTCCAACTATTTGACTGTTCTATCCTGATTTCCTAAACATTTAACAATAAGTTTGTAAAATGTTATGGGTAGGTAGTTACATCAGTAGATCTGTATAAGTAATTTATAATTTATTTTCAGATAGTTAACTCTCTTTAGCCTTGTTTTTAGACACCTCCAAGTGGCTAGATTGCTAGAAATACTGACGCACATATTTCTTTCTTTAGCAGGAATTAACTTTGCTTCTTCCTACTTACTCTAGAAGCCAAGTTGGCTCCTTATGAAATCCTTCATTCCAACTTCTGCCAAACATTTTTATTATAGCGATTGTTTAAAAATGACACTGGAATTTTAGCATGTATTGTTTGACGCCTCTGGAAAATGAGAGTAAAATAATTATTGAGATAGACCTTCCTACTAAATTGGGAGGAAAAGGTTATTGGAGGAGGAGGAAAAATTCCTTGACAAACTTTAGTTACATCAAATAATACAGATTGTAAAAAAGAATACCTGAAAACCGTCTGGTAAAGCTGCAATTTTATCAGTTGGAACTTCACATCACAAGAGCAAAACTCACTTGCCACTTTGGAGATAAAGACAGCAAGATCTAGTTGATATAAACATTTTGAAGTATTTTTAGATTAATTTCAGTGGACTTTTAATTTTCCTTTATAAATTTTGCTGTATCCTCTCATTTCGTTTTTCTGCTTTTCCAGGCATTAGATGGTCAGAATATTTATAATGCTTGCTGTACCTTGCGGATTGATTTTTCCAAATTGGTCAACTTGAATGTAAAGTATAATAATGATAAAAGTAGAGATTACACTCGTCCTGACCTTCCATCTGGTGATGGTCAACCAGCTTTGGATCCAGCTATTGCTGCTGCATTTGCAAAGGAGACTTCACTTCTAGGTATGATTTTTGTTTGTTCCTCTTTCTCAGTTGTTCGTATAATATATACCGTTGTGTTTTATATAATAGATGTCATTTGTGGCTTATGTACACACACATACACACAAGCACCCGAATGAGATTATTGAATTAATTGGTTCCTAAGAATAACTTTATTTGATTACTGTTCTCACCACTTTTTCTTTTCTTTCTTAAGCAATTACTTATTTATATCATTTCAAGTCTTTTCAATCTGAGTACCTGCTTCTGATATTCAGGTAATAAGTTCCCATTTTGGAAGGTACTTTTATTAATATTGCATTAATTCAATGCATCATCTAGAATCTGTTGAAATGAATGTTAATACATATCCTATTCCACATGGTCCCCTTTCCTTGTATTTTCATTGGCCAATTTATTGTCTGTGTATTATAAAATAGAATTGGCCATGAAAATTGGCCAGTTTTATTATCTATGGATGATTAAAAAAAACCTATAGGATAAAATAAGCACTCACTTTTTAATTAAATTATCTAATTCACTGAAAATCAAAACAAGAGTAATACTAAAGATGACTTTTCTTAGAAAAGAAAGTACCTAGATTTTATTTTTCCCTAATTCTTGATAGATTAGTGAAACAGACTGAAAATGAAATTTGGAAAGCGTTAATATTCCCTAGTGTTTTCGTTTAAAAAATGCACACATTTTAGTGGTACTTAGTTTATATTAATATTTGGGGATGGGGAGAACATCCTAGGATTATAGAGTGTAAGCTAGCAATGTCACCATGGTCAATCATGATGGAGTTACTAAATCATAAATCATGGGGTCAGGAATTATACATTCTTAAATCATAGGAATGCTCCATTCCGCATTTGTCATGTCCCACCCCAAATATGATACATTGTGTTTTAGAAAATACAGTATTCAGACAAAGTGGATACATCTAGAGAAGGGCATGCAAGGATGTATGAATAGGGAATCAGAAACTAAATTTTATAAGAAACGATTAAGGGAACTAAAAATGTTCCGCTTTAAGAAAAGAATACTAAGGTAGAATATAATAGTACTCGTTAAGAATTTGAAGGGATGTCACATAGAAGACAACCACCGCCTGTTGTCTGTCATCCCAGAGTACATAGCAAAGCAGGTTCTAATTGCATGTTAAGAAAAATCTCCTGAGAATAAGAGCAATTCAACAAAGAGTCAGTTATTTAGAGAGATAATGGGCTGTCTTTTTGTGGTTGTGTTCAAGTGGTAGCATAGCCATATATTAGAAACTTTTATTAATTTTAATTCCTGCACTAAATGAAAGGTTTAATTCAATAGTCTAAATTGTCATTTTCAATTCAGAATCTCTGAACTATAATAAAATCATATTCTCACAGTGATATAATCCAGAGATGATACAGATGATGCTGTACTGCTGGTGTAGTGCATATGAACTGAGATAGCACACACTTTGAATGAGGAAGTACATATATCAATAAATAATATTAGCAATTTTATAGTAACTTGTACCAAAATATCTTATATTAGGGATCACAAAGGTCTTACAGACTTGCAACTATTTTAGAGCCTGTAAGTGAAAACAAAAGTTCAAGTTCACTCTGACTCTTATCAAATTAGCAAGCTAATTTTAGGCTCTCCAGTTAAATATTGGCATAAAAAATCTAATTGAATAGATTATTTTCAGTTCATGTGATACAGGGCAAATTCGTTGGTCACAAAAATAAAGAAAAAATCTTAGTGCTGCCTTTTCCTTTCCTTTTCTGTCCTTTGGAACTGCTGTTCCTGGTATTGAAGACATAACTGTTTGAAAAAAACAGCTTTCATACTAAAGATGCATATCATTTATTGATATGAACTGGGCCTTACATAATTGAATAGATAAGTTTATCTTATCCAGACCTCCTGTAGAAATCTTTTCCAGTCTAGCAATCTGAAGAGCTTCTTTATTAGAAATGGGGAAGATTTATGTAGGAGACCAAAGCACCTTTAAGTATAAGCTTCTTGTCTAGCTTATAATTAAAACTATTAAATAAAAAGAATAAAAATTAACAATGCTAAATACTAATATCAACTATTAGACACGTTGAAATGGCTAATGTGATTTTCTCCTACAATTTTAATAGAATTGATCAGGTAAGTTTCTGTGGAGATGGGACTCCAGATGTAAGATGTCCTGATGAGAAAGCTTTCTGTCTGATCATCAGCCACAGAGCATATCACAGAGAAAGTGATAACATTTGTACAGAACTGTGTGGCATTTGACAAATACTTCAGGTAGTTAAGCAAATCCTCCAGATACCTGTTAGGAATAACAGCACTTCAAAATGAATTAGCAATCAGGAAGTTCTAGTCTTGTATTGTTGACTAGACTGCTTTTTGTATTGTTGTTTCCAAAAAGATTTTAAAGTTTTGTGTTCCTGAAAGAGATGAGAGCTATGTTACTTGTTTCCTTCTTCCTTCTGCTTCTCTGTCAGTTGTATATGTGGTTGGGATAGGAGAATCTCATTGCTTACAATCATTCAAATCCGGTCAGTATCTTCATTGGAGCAATAAGTTGTATTGTCAAAAGGCAATTAAATATACTTTTTGCTTTGTGCTGATAAATATTGCTTCAAGGGAAAACACAGTAAACTGTGAGTATGGCTATAGGTTATTCTGCATGAAATCTAATTATGTTTATTGCATTTATTTGTCAAAACCTGTTTAATATAAAAGCAAAAATGGTCTTTTGATGAGTATGTCAGTATACATGAACCCTGTACATTGATCTTTCCAGCCATCTGAGGTTTAACATTAATGATACTGAAGTAAATAAACAAAATGGTTAGGAGCTGTGTTATCCATATCTGCTCTTTTCTAATACAAACTTTGGAGCCAAAACGAGCATCGCTGTCCTTGCAGAACTTAATTTTTTGAGATTTGTAATGCATGTAAGGTATATGTAGCTCATACTATTTCTGATTTTCAGATTAAAACTGTAAATGTTACCCCATGGTCTTTGTTCATATATACGTATATGGTCTGTTCTTTCATTTACTGTAAATTGGATACAATTTCAATATGCTTTTATGTTTTTGTAGGAAAAAAAAATCTCTTCAACAAATAGAAAAGCTTGCTTTCTAATGTTTTGTCAGGAAGAGTTCTTGATTCCTTTACTGACATACATTTTGTACTTTATGGAAGAAAATTGCACGGAAGAAAACTGTGAAACTGTACTCCTTCTCTGCTTGGAGCTTAAGAACAATAACATTTTAATAGTGCCATAATTTAGCCTTGAGGGAAAAAAGTGTTTAAAAGTTTCCACATTCAGAACTAAAAGTAAATTGAAATCGTTGCAAGGTGCATTTGGATACTTTTATCACTAGAAATCCCATTTTACATAATTTTTACATAAGCTTCTTATCAAATTGCTGTGAGAGTCCATATAGTGCAGGTAATGTTTAGCTGAAAGAAAGAATTACTATTGAATCTGCCTTGAGTAAGTGATTTGGAAATTATACATGTAGGACAAGAATATCTTTTTTATTAGGACTATAGAATTATAGGATAAATAAGCATTTGATCTATTAGTGTAGACAAATAAATTATACCATTTTTCTGATGAGTTGAGATTCTTCTGTGTAATTAGGCAAAAGAAATTCACAGGGCTCAGTAATAAAAAATTAGAGAGATAGTAAAAATCATTTAACAATTGACATTTACTTCCACGGGAGGATAGAACTGTACCATTAGGGATTGAATTACAAAAGTAGCTAAAGATTACAGTTTTGAACAAGTTACAAAAAACTCATTAATTATCACTTAACCAGCTATTTTAATAATGCCTCCTTCCCAATGCACTCAACATCGACTGTATGCATTTGTTGCCACGATTTTTCATGATGCTTTATGACCTAATAGGTTTTAATTTTTTAATCTGTTTTCCTCAGTGACTTTTATTATCTAAGTCTCTGCTCAAATCTGCCCTGAGATCCTATTTAGAGATAGAAGGGCATCCTGATGAAGCTTAACCCTCCCATCTAATTTTGGAGATGGGATTGTTTTATGTTAATCTAGTAAGTTGCTATGCTTGAGCTGGAAAAGTTCTATTTCAGGATCAGAGCTTTTGTTGATTTAGGTTTAGGTGAGGGTAGATAACAAAAACCACCCCCAGAAACAATGAGAAGCGGAGGTCAACATAATAATAATAAAGTTGGAAGGGACCTTGGAGGTCATCAAGTCCAACCCCCTGCTCAGGCAGGTAACCCTATACCATTTCGGACAAATGGCTGTCCAGTTTCTTCTTAAAAACGTCCAGTGTTGGAGCATTCACTGCTTCTGGAGGCAGGTTGTTCCACTGGTTAATTGTTCTAACTGTCAGGAAGTTTCTCGTTAGTTCTAGGTTCTCCTTGATTAGTTTCCATCCGTTGCTTCTTGTCCTGCCTTCAGGCGCTTTGGAGAATAGCTTGACTCCCTAATGTAGACATAAATGTCTTCATAAATGTCTTCATAAATGTCTTCATAAATGTAGACATTTATGAAGTGAGAATATGAAGAGAAGGACGAGGGGGGACATGATAGCAGTGTTCCAATATCTCAGGGGCTGCTACAGAGAAGCTGTAGCAGCCCCTGAGATATTGGAACACTGCTATCATGTCCCCCCTCGTCCTTCTCTTCATGTTCTCACTTCATAAATGTCTACATGACCTGATACAATGTGCAGAAAACAGAGAGCCTGCCCATAAATTGGGGCAGGGACAGAAACTTTTTTCATCACTTTATATGCTTATGACCACAAGTGAGCCCCAAATTTCAGTTGCTAAGTAAAACAGTTGTTAAGTGGATTTTGCCCCGTTTTGTTACTTTTCTTGCCACAGTTGTTAAGTGGATCACTGCAATTGTTAAGTTAGTAACATGGTTGTTAAGTGAATCTGGCATCCCCATTGACTTTTGCTTGTCGCAAAAGGTGGTCACATGACCCTGGGACACCGCAACTGTCATAAATATGCCAAGCATCCAAATTTTGATCA